TATATATATATATATATATATATGGGGAATATTGTTAATATACTCCTACCTATTTTTTAGTAGGAGTATGTTAGCAACCTACACCAAAATTTTAGGACAAAAAAATCATTCATTTCTTTTGATTTAGTTAATTTGTATCAAAGATATTATAGTAATTTAATTTAATTTTAAATAAAAATTAAATATTTTCTCTCTCTTATTAATTTCTTTCACTAAATCATTTCTCTCTTTTATTAAATTCCTTCTCCAACCCATTTATCTTTCCTATTAAATTCTTTCTCTAACTTATTTATCTCTCTCCTATTAAATTCTTTCTTTAACTTATTTCTCTTTCATCTCTCATGAAATGACTTAGTAAATGGAGTTAATAAGAGAGAGAAAATATTTTATTTTCTTTTAAAATTAAATTAAATTACTATAATATCCTTTGTACGAATTAACCAAATAAAAAGAAATGAGTGATTTTTTTGTCCTAAAATTTTGGTGTAAGTTGCTAATATATTCTCACTAAAAATAGGTGGAAGTATATTAGCATTCGCCTGTATATATATCTTAAATAAATTTATATTCTTGAAGGCAGAGGGTATATATGCTGTCTACTCTTGAGTGTGGAGTGGCGGCTATTAGTTACAAGAAATGCATAATGCTCGAGAATAAAAGTAAACTTAAAACTTTAATTATTCTGGCTAGCTTATGCACTTTATTAATGAAAAACGCAAGGCATATGCTGAAAACAAATTCATGTTGCGTGTGATAGGTTTACGTGGATGATATAAGGAGACATGGCAGAGTTATGAGTTATGAGCGATCGAGGAGAGGTAGTGAGCGAGAAAGAAAAGAGCAGATATGATAATGACAGGGCAGATAGCCTTGATCGAGAAAATGAAAAAGCCATACATAATGGCGAAGAGATGCGATTGGGAAAGTTTCAGAAAATATTTCCGGAAACACAAAGAGCTGTTGGACAAGCAAGTAGACTTGCACCACAGCACTCCTCTACACTACGCAGCACACTGTGGGAACCCAGAAATGTACAAGGAGATGCTGGGGCTGGTGCGTGAGGAAGACATAAAGCGCGTGCTGAGGTTGCAGGACGACATGGGGAACACGCCGCTTCACGAGGTGGCGTTCACCGGAGAAGTCGAAATGACTAAGAGCATTCTCGAGTACGAGGAGAAGCCAGGGTCTGATCAGTATCAGCCACTGCTTGAAATGCGAAACCACTTGGGAGAAACACCCGTTTATAGGGCTGCCGCGCTTGGAAAAACCGACTTGCTTGCTTACTTCCTTCTTGTGTGTCGCGTTGACACCGCTAATCATTTTCACAGGACGGCGGATAAGATGTCCATTCTTCACACTGCTGTCATTGACCAGTTCTTCGGTATTTCTCTTCTCTCCGATATTCATTCTCTCTTTTATGCCCACACATATATACATATATATGCCTTTCACACTTTACTTCTTCAAAGTATGAAATTTCAAATATATATATATATATATATATATTTGAAAGTGTAAAACATTACTCATTTTAAACTGAAGTTTAAAAAATCATATGACTTATATGATACAAGTATTTTTTGTGTTATTCTTAAATTGAATTAAAACTTTCATTCTAGTAGCTTGTATATGTGTCTAGAAAATTATGTAGAAATAAGAGTTCTCCTTTGTCTTTTTTAGTTGATTATGATTATAGATTCTATCTCCATTCATTTAATGGGTTTAGATTATACATTTAGTTTGTCTCCATTCATTTTATGGGGTCAAACTATACATAATCTGGCTTTCATTAGCATGATGGCTTCAGCTTATCTTGTTTTACAAGACTTAGTCTTAGTGTCTTGAATCTACACATACGTACATGCATATGTATGTATGTATGTATGTATGTGTATATATATATATATATATATATATATATATATGTGTGTGTGTGTGTGTGTGTGTGTGTTTGAGGATCCCTTCTAAGTTTGACGCAGAGAGAGAAAGCGTGAGAGTAAAGTATTAAGTATCAGCACAAAGAGCTTCGAAGAAGATACGTTAAGAGGAAAGGAGAATCAGTTAGAGACATTAAGAGATTTTTGAGAAGACCAAGTGGTTACTTTGTTGTAAAGACAAGAGCTTGGTTGTTTTAGATGGTGGTGCTCTATCCTGTGGATGTAGGTCAAATTATTTGAACCATGTAAATTTGTTGTGTTCTCTTCTCTTAATTTATTTTGTTTTTTTATTGAATTTTTTTTTGTGTTCATGTTTTTACGTACTTGTTTGATTTTCTCATCCCTACATTTTTGGTTTGTTCTTGTATAGGATCTATTCTTGTTTTTTTTTTCTTCTTCTTATTTTAATTAGAACCAACAAATGGCACCATCTATGAGAAGAAGAAAGAAAAAAAAAGGCTGAATCATGGGAACAACCAAGTACGATATCGAGAATTTTTCAAGAAACAATGACTTTGGGTTATGGAAAATAAAGATGAAAGATATCTTGGTGCAATAAGAAGTTTAGAAGTTTTGAAGGGTAAGGTGAAAATGTCTAAATCATTATCTTAGAAAGAGAAAAATAAGATATAATGATTGATAAGGCAATAAGTGTTATCATCCTATATATGTCTTGGTAATAAAGTCCGAAGGGAGGTTGCAAGGGAAAAGATAGTTATTGTCATGCGGGTCAAACTGGAATCTTTATACATGATAAAGTCTTTAACAAATTGATTATGTTTGAAATAACAACTTTACTCTTTCAAGATGACAGAAGCAAGATTAGTTCAAGAATAACTTAGAGATTTTAACAATATTTTTGATGACTTGAAAAACATTGAGGTGAAACTTGAAGATGAGGATAAAGCCTTGCTGCTACTCAACTCTTTATTAAAATCCTTTGAGAATTTCAAGGATGTTATTTTGTACGGCAAAGATCAAATAGTGAAACCTACTATCTCTCATGAATGTAGGCTAAATTGGTTGAACCACGTAAATTAGTTGTATTTTTTTCTCTCAATCATTTTCATTTTGCTATTACTTTTTTTTTGCTTTCATATTTTTATGTTTTTTTTTAAATTTTCTCATTTCTACGTTTTTTTATTTGTTTTCACATAAGATTTGTTCTTGTTTTTTTCCCCTTATTTTAGAACCAACATTTTCTTATTCCATTCTGTTTAGCAATGGAAAATGAAATTTGGTAAGTTGTTGATTTTCGATGCAGGCACAGCCTTATGGTTATTGAGACGGTATAGCGACCTAGCTTATGAAAAGGAAGACAATGGACTCACAACTCTGCAATTGCTAGCAAAAATGCCTTCTACATTTAAAAGTCAAACCAAAATGGGGCTTATCAAAAATTTCTTATACCCTTGTATGTCTCTCCGTTAACTTATCGATCCTTGGTTTCAAATTTGAATAACAAGCATGCATAAAACACATCAATTTTATTAAAAGAAAACAAAAACCTTAAAATTAAGCTTGTATAGTTGCAACCAAAAATATTTTGTGCTTTCATGGTTTTTTTTGGCTTAAGTTAGGGAATTTAAATCATTTAAACTAAGGGAACGTACTTTAAAGAATAAAACTTTGGATTACGGATTCAATTCTTTAGTTAAGAAAATTATGGATTTTAACAAAGTTTTAAATAGTAGTTTGACGTTGCTGGTGCTTTGATGTGATCATTAATTTAAAGCTTTGGATTCTAATTTAAGTATGGGGGAGGACTGGAATAATGAAATAATGCGTAAAATCCTAGTTCAAGTTATATATAGCAAGTTTTGCTAATAGTGGCAATATTCTGACGCAGTGCTTCCTGACTTTCAAGATTACAAATACTACCATCAAAATAAGGAGTGTGACACAAAAAAGGGAGATTTGGAAAGTGGTGAGAGAAGCAAAAAGGAACCACCCCCAACTCAAAGGAAACTCTCAGGTATGTATTGGCAATTTAAAAACATAAATAACAATTTAGATAATGTCATATGAGATTAATTTTAAACAGCTAACAGTGTAAGGTTTTTATTAGAAAAAATATTCATAATATTAAAAATACTAAAGTGTCGTAGATGTTTTATTTTTTATTTTACATTTAGTTACGCACGGTCTTATTTAAAGAATGCATGAAAAAGAAGAGTTTGAATGAAAGAAAAAGAAAATGACGGATTTTATATAATTTATATAAAAAAAATGAAAATGACTTTTTGAGCTAATAACATATTTTTAATGTGATTATAAAATATTGTTGGGATGCAAGCAAATTCTCATATTATTTAAACAATAGGATGAACATGGGTTTATATACACATGATTGTCTCTATTGGTTGAGAAGCCTTTTGAGTGATGTTCAAAAGCAAATCCATGAGGGCTTGGGCCCAAAGCGGACAATATCTCACTAATGTGGAGACATGTGACAATATCTCACCAATGTAGAGACATGTGTGTATGTGTGATAACTCCCCGATGTGCACAACAAGTGGTATCAAAGTTGATGGCCTGATCAGGTGACCAGCTCAACGAGTATCCAAGTTTGGGATCCCTTGTATCGAAAGTCTTGAGGATTGTTGGGATTAAAGCAAAGTCCCACATCATTCAACCAATAGGATGGACATAGGTTTATTATATACACATGATTGTCTCCATTGGTTGAAAGGGTGACCAGCTCAACGAGTATCTAAGTTCGGGATCCCTTGTCGAAAGTCTTGAGGATTGTTGGGATTAAAGCAAAGTCCCACATCATTCAACCAATAGGATGGACATAGGTTTATTATATACACATGATTCTCTCCATTGGTTGAGAGGGTGACCAGCTCAACGAGTATCCAAGTTCGGGATCCCTATTATATAATGTTCCTACCGTAAGTCCGCTGTCAATGTGAAGACATGTGTGTATGTGTGATAACCCCCTCGGTGCTCAACAAATATATGGTATAAAAATACAACACAATCATAATATATAGTAATTAAAACTCCAACAAAAGTCAATCTCTCGATCCTTTCCGTAGAATTGCGACTTAAGCATATATGTCACAGCATAAAGCATTTTTCCTGGATATTTAGACTTTTAGCAACAATATTCTCCACAACTAACTATATATGAAGAAACATTATAAGAAACCAGACAAATTGTATAATCCATCGATGACAGATCCATAACCAACAAGTTGGAAATTCAACAACGAATTCATTTTTCTACTCCTTTGGAAATTCAATATTGTTATATGTTTTGATTTGTATAGTTAAGATTCACTCCTTTGACGCTATTGCCATCTAATCAAAATTGCAGCTTTTCATTGGATGTGGTGTACTATGTGGAAGATTGTGGCCAAAGGTGTAAGTCCATGATATGATATGATATATATATTTCTTTAAAAGTGTATTGTGTCGACATTATTTTTTCCTTTTCACGTGTTACTTGTATGTTTTGTTCATTTTCAGAATGGAAAGAGATTGATAAACTTTGGAGGAAAAAGGAAATGCATAATTTAGCAAAGGAACTTGTATACTTGCTAGCACAAAAAGACTATTCATGGCGAAATACAGCCATAGCAAGGGATAGAACAGTTTCCATGGGGAGATCACATCCCGAAGGAAGGCAAAAAGAAAAAGATGGTGAGGAACACAAGGAAGAAAAGAAACATGAGGATGCAAGAAAACCTACATATACCCCATTGCTTATGGCTGCTTGCAATGGAATTACAGAGATTGTTGAATTAATAATTCGTTTCAATCCTCATTCAATTGAGCATGTTAGTGAAGATGAACAAAACATATTGTACATGGCTGTCAAACACCGCCAACATGAAATTTACCTTATCTTAAAGAAATTGAAAATGGTGAGAAGTCTTGCTGGAAAAATAGACAAGGAAAGTAACACTGTCCTTCACTACACCGCAGAATTTCAAGGGGGGTCCCAACCTGGTTATGCTATGCAACTGCAAGAGGAATTGCATTGGTTCGATGTAAGTATCCTTTTCATCATGTCATAATCACGAATCATATTCAAACACAATACCCCAGCTACTTCTCAATTTTGATGTGTTCATTCAAATTCTAATCATATACGAGAAGTGATTTACATATTTTAAGAGTAAATTTATTTAAATTTATTTTAGTTAATAATACATATTTTATATCAAATTTTAATAATTTAACCAATGAATTAAAAATTCTTAATACAAAAATCAAGTTTATAAATTTTAAAAAAATTAAAAATTATTTGCTATTTCATTATATAAATTCTCATCAACGTATAAAATGTTTTTATATATTTATCAAATAATTTTTTTTTCAAATTTACAAATATAATTTATGCATTAAAAATATTTAATTCAACAGTTAAATTGTTAAAATTTGATGTAAAATATGAATTATTGAATGAAACAAGTTTAAATAGACTTACTTTTAGAATAAGTGAATCCCTCCTCTCCTCTCCTCTTCTCTCATTCCCTTTCTTTTTCTCACTCTCTCTCTCTCTATATATATATATATTAAGAGTAGAAAAATAAAACCACCTTCCTTACAAAAACTCTCACTTTTAGTTACTAAAGTTTGTAGAAAACGTAGAAAAGAAGTTTAAATAAAGTGAATGATATTTTAAAAAATGCATAATTGTACTTTTTGTCTCATTTTTTAAAATTTTTAAAACTCTACATTTTATCACTAAACTTAAAGTATATTTTACTACATGTTAAATGACCATTTGAAAACTTTAATTAACTAATAACTTAATATATTGATTACCACATATATATATATATATATATATAAAAGAAGTTAATAGTCAACAAGTTACATTAGTCAACTTGTCATGCTAATAATTCACTAATGATACATTAAATTTATAAAATTTTGAAAGTTAGGATGAAAAAATGTACAATTTTAAAAGTTAAGTAACAAAATTTGTAGAAATATAAAAAGATAAGTAAAAAAAAGTGTAATAAAGCCTTTACAAAATTAGCAAGTAAAAAATTTAAAAAGCAAAGGAATAAAGTAGTCATTGCTTAAAACCTATTATGTGAATACTATCTATAGTTGTACATCTCTAATTGATGCCTAGTATGTGATCCTTTTGTGTCTACTCATTATGCACTCACAAACAGCGCATACACAAGAGACTCCCTTATCATTACACTATTCACAAGAACAACCACAACAAAACCGCAAAGGAACTTTTTATGGAAAAGCATGCACCACTGCTCAAGGATGCTCGTGAATGGATAAAAGAGACTGCACAATCATGCTCCGCAGTAGCTGTTCTTGTTGCCACTGTGGTCTTTGCAGCAGCATACACTGTCCCTGGAGGCAATGATAATGATGGCTTCCCTAAATTTCTTCACCACCCCATTTTCTTGGTGTTCACAATCATGGATGTTTTGGCTCTCGTAAGTTCATTGGCTTCGGTGATTATGTTCCTCTCGATCCTCACATCACCCTGTGAGATGTGGGATTTTCGAAGGTCTCTCCCTCGGAAACTCATGGCAGGTTTTGCCTTGCTGTTCTTCTCCATGGCCACAACAATGCTATCATTCAGTGCAACGATTCTTATCAACATCAAGTTAGAGCAGAACAAATGGACTTCAAGTTTGACATATTGTGCTGCATTCTTCCCTGTCTGCATATTTGCATTGGTGCAGTTTCCTCTATATGTTGCCATCAAAGGATGTGTGAGGAGCATCCTTAGGAGACTTAAGAAGATCATTCCTCGTTTCCTTCTCAAGTTGCTCAAAAAGGGTAGGAGAAAGAAATTATGGGAAATTTGAATTGGAAACTGTCTATTTTCTATCCATTTTTGGTTGTTTGCATTTGGCAATGCCATTTTACTTTTTCAAACTTACATTGATTGTACATTGATTGTATGGGTCATTTGTGGTAAAATAACCATTGGACGTGAACATCTGTGAATAAGAGCTTTTATATATATATATATATATATATATGGTATGTCTTGCAAAATGATTGTAGGTAAGCAAGAAACAACCATCGATATATGTGAAATTCGTAGGTATTTTAAATAAAACATTTTTAATAGTGGTAATTTGGTCTTGTTGAAGTGTCTGTCATCCGGATCCTCTCCAGCAACTTTTTTCCATATCCTATACAACAAAAAAATTAATTTAATCATACATTGCTATTGAGTTGCATAACTGAATGCATATGGAGGCATTAAATAATTTTTGCTTGGTAAAGCTTAGAAGTGTTGAGAAACACGGGAACTGGCAAAGAGCTAGGGAAATTGAGAGAAAAAAAAAATATGGAAGAGAAAATTAAATTTCACTAAGGACTATTATCAACCTACATTTCATTAAGGTGTATGGGCGGAAAAAACAGAGGGAGAAAAAATAAAAAACTGATAAATGTGACAAATGAAATAATAAAAAATGAATAAAGCATTAGGAATAAAAGTGAAATGTAAAAAGAAATTTGCCATGATTTTATTTTAAATGACCCTATTTGAACCAGATAAAGACAGATTAATCCGCCACAACTTTTTGCACACTCAACCCGACTCAACTAAATGCTTGGTAATGCTAAGCATACTCTAATCACGCTGATACAGAGCAACATATTAAATTGTAAAGAAAAGGAAAATGAAAACCCATTTGTTGCATTATTTAGAGAGGGAGTATACCTTTGCAACTTAATACGTTTATTTTCTTTTTCTGGTTTTGACGTCAATGTTTATTCACGTTCCTATTTTTTTTATTTTTCTCAATTTTCCAATTTAACCCTTAAATTTTTATTTAAAACAAAAATTCAAAATCATCGCTCTTACCAAAACAAATCAATATTCTTGTTTTCTTTATCTAAATGTAAGGTGGGCTATTGGCACTCCTAAAGTATATTCACACTTCACTCCTTTTAGTTCGAAATAAAATAAAACAAAAAAGTGGAAATAGAGATATCATATATTGCTTTTGAATTTTAATTAAAGAAAAAAATAAGGGTAAAATTGAAAAGCTGAATAAAAGTAAACCAACGAGAAATGTGGATAAATATATATTGGAATGCCTAATGATAAATAACATTGTGAATAAACCCTCCTTTTCTAGCCCAATGTGTGGCCAAATAAAAATAACCTTAAAGCAGGTCACCAATACTTCCCATCTTGGTCAACGTGGAGCAAATAATATCTACATGCATATATATTTACAAGACAAATAATGACACGTAGCAGCTGTACAAATTATGGACGGTGCAATAGTTCGTTTCCTTGATGCCAGTGTACAAAACGAGAAAGGAACACGTTGAATGATTGAATTAGCCATCAAGCTTCGAATACAAATCAGCAAGTGCACGGTAGAGAATGGCAGCAGCAGGTGGCCTAGGCAGCGAGCCAAGAAGGATATCTGTTGCAGCTATAGACTGGCTGCCATAAAAACGCGAATTTTCTTGGGTGCGAGTAGTCACCATGCTGCCTTCAAGTGAGCATCCAACAAATGCACCTGCATGTGGTAATATTGTGGTCAAACACAACACCCTAAACAAGAACAATATAAAAATAGACTCAAGTCACCTAAGCAAAAACTCTAAATGGAACAAAGAACCATTAAATTCAATTTTGGGATATAAAACCTCATTTTAAGAAATGTTACCGAAATTCACCCCAACACTCTCGTCCTAATGTTCTCCCTACTATTGGTTGAAAATCATATATTATAATAAGTCTTACCACTAAATCAGGAAAGAGACTCATTAATAAAATGTAGAGCCCACAAAATTGTTATTTCCAATAAATTTCAACTAATAATAAAGAGTATTAGTAAGCAAGTGTTAGAGAATAGTGATTATTAGGTGCTCCTAAACCATATGATTTCTATCTAATCTCTATGACATCTAATCAAGTTTTTATTTTTTTCTCAGAAGTTAAAAAACTTAAATACATGTTATATAGTGTTAGGTTTGGATCTTAGACACTTGGTAATCTTGGACAACTTAATAATTTTTCATTAGAGAGAGTGTCGCTAGTAGTCTTCATTTTACACTATTGACTTCATAACATCAAATCTCACAAGTTTATGAGCAAATCTGGTTTTTGGAGATTTCAATTGCAGCATGCTTGTTAATGGCTGAAGCATAGTAGTCAATCCCCCTAAAACTGGGATAGCGGGATGACGCGGAGCGGGATAACCGCTATTTAAATATTAATTTATATATATTAAATAATTAATAATATATATATAAAAGCTAAAAAAACAAAAAAAATAACTCTAAATTCATGCATTAAACATTTTTAATAATTAAAAGTTCATAGTACTCAAACAATACATAATATAAAATGTCTCCAAAACAAAGTGTTAAAGCTCTAAGTAAGTAAAAAATTAAACATTATAGTTTAATCTTCTTCCTCATCAAGATTAAAGTCTTCCTCTCCCTCAAATTCATCACTCCCACTAGCATTAGAATTATATTCTTCTTCTTCCTCTACATCATCATCCTCGTCTTCTAGTACTTCCATCACTTTTTTTCCTTTATCTTTCTTGGATGTAGATGCAATTGTTGATGTCTTGTTCACTTGTGTTTGTCTCCTAGTGTATTTCAAAGGTTCACCGGCACCACTTGCTTGGGCAACATCTCTCCAAGTCAAAACATCATCATCAAACACCAAGTCATCTTCAA